AGTGCAAGACACCACGAGCAGGAGCATACTGGGATGTAACAATGATGGTTGAGCACGTTGGTACTATTGAATAGAGTTCCACCGCGTCCAGCAGTCGGTGTAGCCGCCAGGTATGATGTGTTGTAATATATGTCCAGCATATGGAAGATTTCGATCACGGTAGTGGGTGACGGAGATAACTGTAGACGAGCATCAGCGGAGAATACCACTGATCGTCGCGATCCAGAACCTAGACTACACCAGTCCATCTAGTTCGGCGCGAGAGACGGAAAAGATGGGCAGTTCGTGTGGAGCAACTGTGCCGTAGCAAGAGGCGGTCTGCAGGGGCACTCGAGTAGTTTCTTGTTAATCCCTGGAGGTGTTGAGGTACTATTACCACCCGTCCCGGTTAAGCGATGCCAAGCACGACGGAGGACGCTGCCGACTCAAGAGGGCATGGGAGAAGCGCAATCGCTCGATGCGGACGGAGGGGGTTGGAGGGAGGGAAGTCTTGGTGAGGAGGATGCGGAGTGTCGGCGGCGGTGATTGGCTCCGGCGCCGAAATTAGCGTGGGCGCGCATGTTTACGTCGCGTGTCCCTCGTGCACGCTATTTGCGCGTGCATGGCTGTGACAGCTGCCAGTGGCAGCGTCGTGACATCAGCGCTTGGTCGCGCAATCAGTGGCATCAAGGGCTCGATCCATAGGAAAGGCGGAGGTGAGGTCGGTGTAGGTGGGATGCGGGGCCAGGGGCAGCAGCTGGTCCCGCCGTAAATTAAGCAGCAAAGGCGAGTGTGGACCCTGACCAAGAGGGTCTAGCTGGCTGCGGGCCTAGTCCAGGGCCTCCTTGATGCTCCTTTCGAAGGCCGTTGGGGAAATCATTCCCTCTTTTGCGGTCCGTCGCGCTCTTTTCGTGCTGCCGTGAGCTGTGTTGCGCCGTCGCTTCTGACTTTCTTCTGTTGCATGAATGCCGCCTGCAGAGTAATACCCAGAGAGTCACAGCGTGCACGACTCAAGCCGGCGCCAGCATACTAATTCCACTCAAGTGAAACACGCTCTACACCAGCACCACCGAACCGAGCGCCCCAGGTAAACAGGTCTGTTCTTTCTACCTGCCGCGGCGGAGAGCAAATTTCCGCTCCGTCATATCGAACCACCACCGTGAAGACAGCAAACATGTCCAGCGGAAGCATCACCATGGAGGTGAAAGAAGAAGCCGTCGAGCGCGCGCCCAGGTCACACGTGGACAGCTCGCCGCTGCCGACAGACTCGATGGTCACAGTGCCCCTCTCCGAGACTGACGGTAGAACCCCAGAGGAAGAGGAAGGCGCGAGGGAATCGGTGATGCGGCCAGAGATTATAGTTGAGGAGCGAAGAGCATCATCACGAACCAACTCAACGGAAATCCGCAATGCCTTCGGACGCCGCGCCAGCCAATCGAGCGTCGACACACCCGCCCCGACCAGCCCTACCATCTCAGTGCGGGACACCGACGCACCCGTCTCCCCCAAGACAGCAGCGCCAGACAGCAGGGGGCGCCGTACTAGCAATGGCTCGGGAAAAAGCGAAGAGGTCGACTGGGCTGAGCTAGAGAAAAAGGAAGAACAGGAGCCCGAGGGCGAGGAGGAGGTGTGTAGCCGGCCCCTGTATGAATAACGAATGCTAACATATCTAGGCCATGGCCCTGCTGCTCGCCCGACTGGAGCAGGAGAACGAAGCCATCCTCTCGAACTCAAAGTCTAACATGAAGGTCGCCCGCGCCCGCAGCCAGTCCCGGCCCCCCTCCTTCAACCAGCTCAAGCGTCTCGTGGCGGATGACACCTCCACCATGCGCTTCTCCCAGCTGCCTTCGCCGCCCCCCATGACCGAACTCGAGTTCTGGGCTGCCCTCGTACGCGACTACCCTCAGACCGTCCACAGACTGCCCACGCTCTGCTTGAATAAGATTCGGGGAGGCATACCAGCGCCGCTGCGGGGCGTCGTCTGGCAGAGTGCAGCTGGCTCGAGAGAGAAGCTGATCGAGGACCAGTATGACTCGCTGTGCGGAGAGTCGAGTCCATACGAGAACATCATCAACAAGGACTTGGGACGCAGCTTCCCCGGTGTGGAGATGTTCAAGGACCCTGAAGGCGAGGGGCAGAAGATGCTCGGCCGCGTGCTCAAGTGCTTCAGCTTGTATGACCACAAGATTGGCTACTGCCAGGGTCTTGGTTTCCTCGTTGGCCCGCTGCTCATGCAGATGGGCGACAAGGAAGCCTTTTGCGTGCTCGTGAGGTACGTCATCGCACTTTCCTCGCAACGTCAGCGACTAACAACACCAGGCTCATGGAAGACTACGATCTGCGCTCGTGTTTCCTGCCGGACCTCTCCGGCCTCCATCTGCGCATCTTCCAGTTCCAGAAGCTGCTCCACCATCACATGCCTCAGCTAGCCCAGCATCTCGACGATCTAGAAGTGCAATCCGCATATCTATCGCAATGGTTCCTGTCTTTCTTCGCTGTCACATGTCCGCTACCCATGTTGTTTCGCATCTACGACGTACTATTTGCCGAGGGCGCATCCGAGACGATCATGCGGGTAGCCCTCGCGCTAATGAAGCGCAACGAGCAAAAGCTGCTGTCCCTGAGTGAGTTCGAGGACGTGATGCAGTTGCTTTTGGGGCGCCAACTCTGGGACCCATACGGGCGGAACGCGGGGTCGGCGGATGAATTGGTCGGTGATTTTGTTGGTTTCACAAACGACGTGACGCGCGAAAGGTTGCAGGGATTGGAGCAGCAGTACAAGGAGGCCCAGGAGAAGGATTCGTCCAAGCAGCAAGTCCAGAAATCTGCCACGAGCTTCCTGGGCCGCCTGTGGGGTCCGTCTAACTCTTCGACCAAGTCCGTTTCACTCAGCCCGGGTCTCTCCGCGCCTTCACGCCCTGTTAGCTTCCTCAGGCGCTCGGCGTCCAAGCAGAGTCTCGCCTCGACACTCAACTCTACTGCCGAATCCGATGCTTCTGCTGCGACACAAAGTACAGCCATGACGGATATCTCGCGCGCCTCGAATGGCGACGCGCTGTCGATGAAGTCGGGCCACGGCTCCATGGCCATGGGCGCATCGTCAAAAGACCGGGACCTACACTATCAGATCGAGCAACTCCTCATGTCCGTAAGCCAACTGCAACGCCAAAACAGCGAACTCGAAGCCGCCCTCCAAAAGCAGCGCGAAGACCGCAAAGAAGACCACCGCATCGTACGCACCGTCGTCGACAAAGTCCGCAAAAAGACCACCACCCTCGCCGCACCCTCAACCCGTTCCTCGCGCCGCCGCACAACAATAACCTCCGCAACCACACTACCCCCTTCCTCCTCCGACGACGCCGCCTCCACCCCCGAACTCACAGAAGAAGCCTCTGAAATCGTCGAAACGCTCGAATCCCGATTTCCAGCTGCCACACTACACCACCGCGCCTCCTCCATGTTCGAAACAAAAGCCCTCCTCCGCGACAATCTGTCCCGCACGAAGGAGCAACTCGCCAACGAGACCCTGCGCGCCAATGCCCTGGCGCGCGATCTTTCGGACCGCGACGCAGAATTGCAAATCGCACGTGACGCGCTGAAGGATACGAGACACAGGTTGCAAGATAGCTACAACCAAAACCAGCGCCTCGAGAAAAACATCCAAGAACTAAGGCAGAATGCGCGGAAACAGTCTGCGGCTGCGAGTTGGACGGGCGTGGATCATAGTGGTGGGAATGCGCCGGATACACCGCCCACACTATCGCGTTCTACAACGAGTGATTCTATCAACACGAGCGGGTTAAGGGAATTACGGCTGGGTAGAACGAACAGCCAGAAGAGCGAAAGGGGTTACTATAACTCCCCCGCGCCGCCGGTCCCGTTTTCCAAACGAAGCAGTTCACTGGCTACACAATCGGTACTCGCGACTGAGAACAACACACCCGCCGACAGCGAAGCTCTTCTGTTGGAACTTGTAAACGCCAAAACGGCGGAGGCGGTCGCGAGACAGGAACTCGAGGAAATGAGGAGTAGGTTTGAGGGGATGAAGCGTGTTATGAGTAGCGGTGGAGCGAATGGAGGAGGGGGAGGGGGGTATAGTGGGAACGGATCACCGATGTCAGGAAGTCCCTTCGCGACGCCTACCCAAACGCCGGCTGTGACGCCTAGTCCTGTTCCTAAAGAACCGGCAGCGGGGACGGGGGGAGGATGGGGGTGGGGTGGGTGGAAGAGGACGGTTAGTAGTAATGCGGCGGGGGGCTCTTAGGCTGGGCTCTTTTGATGGACGCTGATGGGGGATGGGATCTGGAATGAAGGGGAGGAAGGTGAAGGTTTGAGGGAGGGGATATTGATGTTGGTGTACAGTGTATATACTCATACAATCTGGTATTCGAGACCAGTACCACGCCTACTCTCGAGATATAGAGAGAGGGACTTATGTCTTCTTGGGCTTCTTCTCTGCCACGGGTGGCAAGAGAATGGATGGCCGTATTATACACAACGGGTTTAATGTCAACATTTACATTTTCTCTTCATGAATACCCATCTTCTCCGTTTCTCTCTGTTTTTCCAATAAAAAATAAGAAATTACGTGCTTGATTGGGACAGTGTTTGGGGGCGGAGCACATGAACCAAGATTCTAAGAGAGTTACGTGTGCTAGAGAAGATGTTGTGTCGGGCCGCAGAGCAAAGACTTTGAGCGGCGGTACAGGATGTAAAGGCGTGACCCATGAGGCTGCCGGATTGGTCGGTCCAATGCTAGGGATAACAATGAATTCCATTTCGCGCTATGACTCGTTGCGATCATATTCGTGCGATACGTGAACTATCTCTTTGTTGCATATAAAGCCCCCGAGTATCAGGAAGTACCAAAATTCGACATAATGGGACAAAGCACAGATTAGGACCTTGAAAACAGGCACATCGCCGTTGCCATCCTCGAGACTCGAAAGACTCGCCGCCATACACGATAACCCCACACCACACCCCTTAATAACACGAGCTCAACGGAGGTGCTTGACGCGATGGTTCGAGAGAGCGCAAGACTAAAGCAGAAAGCGGCTGACGAAGCTGCGGCTGCGGGCTCAACTCCGCAAGTTCTTCTCGTCAATCCCACTCTCCTAGCAAACTGGCCCGCTCATCCGACGACGCCAGCAGAGTTCAATGCATGGATGGTCGAAACCAAGGCTGCGCTGCTGAAATGGCTGAACGAAGCCGCTGCGCAGGCTCGAGATCCAGATATTAAGGATAAGATCGACGATTACGAGAAGGAAGCTAGGGAAAGATGGCTACCGTTCGAAGAAGAGACTGATGTAGAAACCGGCGAAATTCACGACCCGATACGGCGCGCGGAGATGGATGAAGCTGTGGTTGAAGAGAGGAAGAATTGCTCAGAACTACACAAAACACATGAGACGTGGAGGAAGTTCGTTGAGTATAGACACGCGCTGCAAGCGTGGGAAGACTTCTTGTACTACCAAAATGTGTGGAATAGAAGGTATTATGTACCCGGGAAGATATACTCAGAAGACCCGAAAGGGAAAAAGGGCCCAGCATCACTGGAGACATCGAATGAAAGAGCTAGAGGAGAAAGCGAAAAGCCAGGAGAAAAAGCTCCCAAAAAGACTAAAGGCAAAGCCAAAGCCAAAGATGCCCCCGTGGGTACTCCGGATCAAGAAAGCACGAACCGAACAGACATCGAATACCACAACCAGCCCTTCCAAGGTATATACAACGGTTGGATGTGGAATATGATCGCCCTGTACCAGCAGGCTCGTCTAGGCTATCGCAAGCGCATCCCCGCCGTCGTTGCACCCCAGGATGCGCATCGATACTCTCAGCCGCCCCGTGGTACCACACCACAAGACACACCAAGCTACCAACATCGCCATCGCCACCTTGAAGAAAGATTTCCCCGCAGAAAAAGGAAGCAAATCGATACCAACGAAGTCGAAGAACGGTGTCGCAGAAAAGCGGAGCGTAAGCTCGATATCCGACTCGAAAGAGCCCGTAGGATGGAGCCGATCACATGGAGCATTGACGAGAAGGCCTACGAAACCATGAAAGCCGAGAAAGAAACCGAATACAGCCAAAACCCACTGACCATATCTCTCCTCCCAGACGACCACCAAACCCACCACGGCAGTCTAGAAACAAGTTTCAACTGGCCCACATCCTTCGACACCCCCGTCTCCACCATCCTCAAGACCACAAAAACGCGAGACCACGTCTACGAACCTCTCAGCGACCCCGAGCACGACCCCTCCGACCCCAAAAGCAGAAAGAGGTTTCTGGGCTACAAGAAAGACGAAAACGGAGAGCGTATCAAGAAAATCGATAGCCGACCACACTACCAGCGCGAAACAATCATGCAAGAAGGCCTCGTCTTCCAACACCAAATGCGCGCCGATGGAACGGTCAAAGGGCGAAACCGCACCGGTGAATGGATAGGAGATTGGGTACCGGGTCAGATAGCGACACCCGTTTGGGTTTACGATGAGGACGGGAACCGTATTCTCTTACCGCCGCGATATGAATCGAGGAATAGATTTTCTACTTTCCTCGTTCGAGAATCGCATATCAGGGAGACGCGGCGCCAGCGCCATCAAGATGCAGAGAGGGAGTATGAGGTATCGGATGATGAGGACGAGGGCTGTGTACACTCGAATGCCAATTTCTCGAGGTCGGGGAATGTTAATCCCGATTTGTTGGGTAATCCTTGGGCGTACAACCTCGATAGCGGCGGAGAAGGGGAAGGTGCTGATCACCCGGGTGATAGCGATGACGATGAGAGTGACGATGACGGCGATTTGTTTGCGGAGTCGTATAGGGAGTGCTCGGAGAGTCCCGCGACGAGACAAGCGCGGTTGTTGTTGGAGGATATGCGGGAGAGGTTTGGTGTGCTTGAGAGCTGGACTGTGGAAACTGTTAGAGATTTACAACGGGACGGTAATGACGGTTCCGTGGTTGTTGAAGATGAGGAGATTGTTGATTGGTATAAGAGCGAGACGGAGAGGCCGTAGATAGTAGGTATGATTGATGTTTGCTGTATCCTTCAAGTTGGTATTAACTGTGTTGTGTGAGTTTGACCAGACTTGATACTCGACTGTCTGCAGCGCAAGCCGGATAGAACTACTTGAGACGAAGAATGTAGTGAAAAGAGAGGATTGAGTGGCGCTAATTGATTGTGTGCTCGAGAACTCAAGGTAGCCACTGCGCACTGACCATCACAACAGTTAGCAGTCGATAACTATTTGCTACAAGTTAGCAACTACCTACAATCAACTCGACAAAGACAGCCAAAAGTACTTGTCGCGCTCTAGGCCACTCAACTCATCACGACCCGTTCGACAAAGCTCTTCGCATAGCCGTCATGAGTGACATCATCATGTCAGATGCGGCACCTCCAGAGGAAAGCCGCCCCCAGGACACATCTACACCTACTCAAGATGCGCCCGATGAAGTAGCGAATACCCCATTGAGCATCAAAGACACGGTCGCCCCAGAAGAAAGCCCTTCACAGGACACATCCACATCCAACCAAGATGTACCCGATGAAGCAGCGAGCACTCCCCATAACATTGAAGATGCGGCGTCTCCAGAGGAAAGCATCCCCCGAGACACGTTCACACCCACCCAAGAAGTTCCTGATAAAGCAGCAAGCACTCTCCGCAGCAGCGAAGACGCCGCGTCTCCAGAAGAAAGCCGTCCCCTGGACGCAGCCGCACCCACCCAAGACATTCCCGATGAGGTAGCGAGCACTCCCTGGAGCGTCGATGAGCGCCTTTTCATCCAGTTACAAGCCGGCTTCGCACTCGCCGCCGCCTTCCTGCACATCTGTACAGTACTCCCGCCGACAGGCCAGAGCGGCTACTACGTCTTTCGCCGCTTCTTCAATGACGCCCAGCAAGGCACCACCGAGGCCACTTCCGACGAGAACACTACCACGACTTCGAGGACCCAAGATGAATACCTACTCCAACGGCAGGAACTGGTACACAAGACACTGTCGATAACAGATGACTTGGTGCGGAAGGCACTGAAGACCGGAGAGTTCATGAGGGGGAAGATGTGGATAATCGAACAGGAAGTCTTCGACCAGTACCGAGAGATCCGCGAAGAGATTGGCATCGATTTGCCGATCGAAGACCCGAGACAGAACAACAAGATGTTCAACTTCCTGTACCAGATCGTTTGCGCAAGGTTCCCGAAGTCGTTGGGACATAGTCCTACCAGCTCAGATGCGGACGAGAATCGCATTCGTACAGAGTATACTGACGACGACATGTATGACGGCTCTACTCGTAGCTCTCCGCCTGAAGACGACCTTGAGATTACAGAGAGCGCTTCGCCGGCGGAGGAAGACGCACCAGCCACGCAGGAGACTACACGACGGACACGTACGAGGGTCAGGAAGCCCACCGCCGCCCTCGACGACAACAACGCATCCCCACCGGTCCGTCAGTCCGGTCGAAAAGTCCGTGTAACCGACAAAGGGAAAAAGGTGCAGACAGGTACAAAACGTACCAGGCAGAACACAGCGGTGGAGAATGAGGGCGACGACGAGGATGAGGATGGAGAAGAAGACATCGCGGAAGATGAAGAAGAGGAAAAGGGTGGAGCATCGCCGAAGAAGCGCGCCAAGAAGGCCGTCCAGAAGACGGCCCAAAAGACCGCAAAATCGAAGACCAAAAAGGGTCATGGCCCGAACCGCAAGCAGAACGATGCCTGGTCGCAAGAAGAGCGCGAGGTCATCATCGCACTCTTCAACAAGATCATAGGCGAGAAGGGCCTTATTTACTGGGCGGACAACATCAGTGCCCTCTTTTACGAGGCCACTGACGCGGTGAACGCACATAGGGCCCTGGATAAGGCCACATATCCTGGTGATCCTCGCGGCATGGATGGAGTGCGCACTCAGGTTCACAAGAAGGCTGCTTATAAGCGCATTAAAGCGCAAGCTGACGCGCTGAGGACTAGGAAGGCCGATCCCAAGAAGACGGTTTCAGAGGCAGAGCTGAAGCCTCGGGATGTGTTCAAGATGACGGATCTCGAGCCCGACAAAGGCAAGTGATGAGGACAAGGAGTGAAAGCTGGGTGGAGAGGGTGGCGGTGCTGCTTCTAGCGGCTTTCGATGAAAGGGTGTAATCTGGGTGATCTCGGGATACGTGTCCGTCGCGGCGACATCAAGGCAACGTCTTTTGTCGATGAGCTGAAAGGTGGTGACTGAAGGTAGCGCTGTACATTGGACGAGGCATGAGTGTGATTGAGAGATACAGATGCTCTGGCCTTCTCGGGCCGTCTGTCTTTACTATAGCAATGAAAAGATGGAAGATATATATCCAAATGTGCTGGTTGTGCTTACTGAGTGTCTTCACGACGCGCGCCAACTTATACGGATGGTGGGCGTTTGCCTACAGGGATTGTGTCTGTCCACGAGAACCGTGCGTGTGCGTGATAATTTTCAGATGTATAAGTGGATGTGAAGAGATGAGGGTGCGATGATGGGAGACGACAAAGGCAGGTGCCAAGGTAAGGTTGAGGTTTGCAGCTAGTGCGTCATGACGTCACTGCCGACGCGTCGACCCAGGAAACTTCCTCCGCACCCGAAGCCTACCGTTGAATATCCTTCTACATCACGTCGCAATACTTTCGTATTCTCTAAGTCCATCGAAGGAGCGGTCGAGAGATATGCGACAGGATGTGCACACAATGCCATTTCTGGGCAGTACTACTACTGCATCCATTCCAGCCTGAGCGTCGCTGATCTGACCCGTCGATTTCACGAGATGTCCGCGCGACGAATACGCAAACAATGAGAATGTAGGCGTGGCTCCCGAAATGACATGCTGGAAAGGGTCATGCATCGATATCAAGACGCGTGAAAGGTATCGCGTGTCGCTTGCTCCTGGAAACGCGTGAGGAAGTTCGATATGCTTCCAAGTATAAGACTGGTGTCATCGATGGGTTTACTGACACATTATCGTTACTTCACAGTGCCATGGCTTCAGAGGATCACTACAAACACGCAATATTACTCTACGCCCGTCTCAAGGCTGAAGCCGGCGACTACCCGCACTGGAATGGATTACACATCTACGACATGATCAAGGAGGGTGTTAGCGACGAACACATCAAAGCCGAGTGGAGTGGCACTGTGTTGATATATCGAGACTCATCGGGCGGAGCGGCAGACGTCTTTTCGCGCTTGAGTCGTTTCGGGGTTACTCGTCATGGCATTGACCAAAGTTCTGTTGCAGAATGGATGAAAGATGGAATGTCAGAACGAACCATCGCCTTGCAGTACCTTCTATCTCCACTGGAGCCAACTCTCGGGGATGCAAAGGCATGCTTAGCTGAGCTTGACCGTCAAATGGGCCCTTGTCCATCGATGACGGAAGAGTATATCCTCGGATGCATGAAGAACCGGCACCTTGGCGAAGACCTTGCTATTGAGTATGCAAATCGCCGACAAGAAGCGCAATTGGCAGATCAAACAGACGTCCCAGCACCAATGTCCGACGAGGACTTGTGGTTCGAGCTGCATTTCGGTCTTCTATACGCTACCACGAAACTTCCGTCGGAGCCCGTCGTTTTGCGGCATCCACGGCACTCCGTGTATCAGTACAACATGTACTTTAACGACGGGTCTGGCATTAATGATGGCCTCTTCAACGCCAAGACAAGCAGATTGGCCAGAGGCACGGTCATGAGGCTAGATTGGCGACTGGACCCATTCATTAAAGTAGGCGGTCACCCAATAGCCTTGCGGACAACCGTTACGTCGGATCATATGGCCGCATACCGGAAGATACGTAAAGTCATCATAGGTGATGAGAGCAACACAGACGTGGAGAGTCATAGCGAGCGCTTGCAATTCCTCATGGACCTAGCGGCAAAGTTACATCCAAATCTAGCCTCACCGCCTGTGCAGTCTACTGATGTGGTAGCACCAGTGGAAGCGTTCTCCAAAAGCCTCTGGACCGAAATGGAACGTCACGCCCTCTGGCGCGCCATCAACAGGTGGTGCAAGGATAATGGTGTAGATCAATTCGAATCAGGCAACATAGGCATAGTCACATGTCAGACTTTTGCTGACGATATCAAAGCAGATTGCGCGATTGAAGGTAGAGGATCAGAGCGCAGTGCAGAGAGCGTCCAAAGCCAAGTAAAAGACGCGATTCGGAGGAACAAGACGAAAGCAAACAAGCCGATCACGGAGCTGGCCTTGCGTGCAAAGGCAATGAAAAAGAAACTCATCGACAAAGGCGTCGACTCTGTCCCAAAGAGCGAAAGGTTTCCGAAAGCAGCCATTGATATCCCAGGGGATGATGAGTCGGATACTGATTAGATGGGTTCTGCAAGTGTTCAGGAAGAAGGAGGTGTTTGGATGAGGTTGACTAGATGTTAGCTACAATGAAACCTAGTCCTCCTTCGTGACCTAGCACTGAGTTTACCGGGTGAGTCTGACAGCGTTATGCCGAGCAAATTACGGGGATGCCGCGAACAGTGTGAGATGGCGGCAACGTAGTGGTAGGACAAGCAATCTTCACGTGGTTCCGCGCGATTGCTATAGCCGAGCGTGACCTGATCATATCGGCCGCTTGATACCGTCCCTTACAAACACCCTGGCGTATAAAGGAGCAGGCCAGTGTGGCTTTACCTTCGATCAATACACGGAGTCATCACCATGACCGACAACCTCGATACCTCAGCTACCCCGACCACCCAATGGAACGCGGATCAACGTGCGTGGATTCAACTTTACTACAAGCTCTTATTGCAATCCAGACGCCAATACCGATCCTTCCCAGTCTGTACTAGTGATAGCGTAGCTGCAATTGCTCATCGAATGTTCTACCGCAGCCCTGAAGAGAGGCAAAATGGCATCCATCTACACTCTGTAGAAGACGATGCGATCTACAAGGCCTCGTTTATTCGCTACCGGAACGCCGCTATGCCGAATCTACTGTCCCAAATTGTGCAACTCTGCACGGAAACTACCGAATTAGACTCTCGCTGCAGCATACCCCAGGTCTTCATCAACAGGCCCATGCTAGACGAATACATCAGGATCAGCGGGACGTATGCAGGTGGCCTAGAAACCGATACTCCACAGCCTTGGGAGTCGCAGACTGCTCTCTGGGAGTTCATCTCAAAGACAGTAAGCGAGAAGTTCATTCATCGTGGGGTTCTGCGCAGCCAGGATACTGTTGTGCAGTCGTTCGCTCGAGTCACTCTGGGCAGCGGAAATTTCCCATCACCGCCCTCTGACGACGAGCGTGCAGAGTTGATGCTGCTGCAGCGACTCATTCAGCGTCGACTGGCTAGAGCAAACGATGGTAATTTAGACGATGGCACAGCGTAAGAGCCATCGATGCTTGATCCATGTTGAAACCTAACATGCTGTGGTCTCGTTTCAGCATCTCGCATAGAAAGAAGTTCAATCTCATGCAATCCATACACCATGTTCACTTCATAGTCATCCAAAATATCGCTTTTGTGGCCCAATACTGTGTACGCGACGAGTCTTCAGTACTCTCATAGGCCTGATCCCCACATGATATGTGCATTCTATCTGCGGGCGAAATGAAAGTTGACTGTATGATATTGATTAGTCCATCTATCTCGAAGCGTACACATTCATACCCTCCCTCAGGTGAGAGATAACGACTTCACAATGTTTATCTTATCCAGTAGGCTGCATCTTGCCATGCGCTACCCGACGCCGCACCTGTGCCCTGACGGTACCAAGATAGGGCCCATTGTCCGTGGTGGAAAATGATCCTGGCGCACGGACAGCCTTTACGCTGGCATATGCCGCAAGCTTCATACTTGCCAACCTGCTCCGTAATCCTTGATATCTTGCCTCTCGCAATAACGATAGTTTGCACACAGCATCCTCTTTTTTCGTTCGCCAGCCGGTTACTCACCTTGACCATATTGGCATAAGTATTGTGGTGGATGGCCTGGGTTGCGTCATATTGGGCGTCGTTTTTGGCGCTGAAATAGGATTGGAAACTTTCCGTAACTTTCTCTTGAGCGTCGGGAGACAACTCGTGGAGCGTATGATAGCTGGGTCCCTCTGCACTTAAGACGCAGAATAGCCAAGGTATGTCATCGGCAGAGAAGATAGGCGACATTCTCTGGGACGATAGCACGTCTTTCTTCCGCTTGTTCGATCGCTGTGTCGATGACTGATTTTGCTCAAGTCCGTGCGATCGCTTGTTGATGGTTGACGTGGGCGTGATCTCGAATTCGTTGAGGGCTGGGCGTCATGTTAGTGCTGGTGGAATTTTAGGCTTAGGGGAAGCATGCGCTACTCACTGTCTTGTTCCACGCTGAATCGCGAGCCGTTAGAGTTATGCAATGGTGTCGGAAAAGCCTCATGGTCTTGACTATGATTGCCATGCGAGTGTTCTGTTGGCTCCAGCCTCGAAGATAGCGGTACCCAAGACGAGAAACCATCCGCTTCTCCGCTGTGAGTAGACGGCGACATGATTGGGAGCGGCGATCTCGTCATTCTGTGTCCTCTCGGCTTGGGCATGGCGTCATAGAAAATCTGATACTGCCTTTCTGAGTCGAGGAGCTGCCTCTTGGTGTCAGAAAGCTGTCTTTGCGTGTGTAGTCTCTCTGTCTGTTCTTCCTTGGCAGTTGTGCGAGCAGCACACAGTTCCTCGTGGAGACGACTGGCGATGATCTTGTGCTCCTCTTTAATCCTTGCTATCTCCGCAGCGTGCTCTAGATTGCTGGTCCGCAGCTGTTTCTCTGCTTTGAAGAATGCGATACGCAGTCCCGCCTGTGCGGCGTCCCCGTCGGGGTCGGGGTCGTTCTTGGGTCGTACAGCTGCTGTAGATAGATCATTAGTCTTCGTGCTTAAGACGAGTTCACACTTCTGGAATGAAGTGCTGTTGCCTTTGTTCTCTTTGGATACTCACCTGTAGAATAGAATTGTTCCTCAAGTTGAGCGATCATGGTATCTTTCGCCTTGCATTCATCGCAAAGCTGTTGTTCCTTCAAGGCTGTGATGTTCTCTTTGAGGGCATCGTTTTCCTCCCACAGCCGTCCGATTTTGACGTACAGATCGTTCAGTTTTCGCTTTTGTTCGCAAACGGGAGTAGCGACTTCTGGGGTAAGTTCACGGGCTTCGGAATCCTTGCGCGTATCACTGAATTGAGTGTCGCAATGCTGATGAGCAGCTTGCCGATCGAGGAGGCTTGGACGCGACATTTCTCACATTTGGGGTGATGGGTGATGGGCGAGACTGGGTGCGTAGTAACAAGGGTGTCGAGGCAGAGATTTCGCGTCTCAGGATGACGGCGGTGGGGGTGCGACGCGCGCGCTTCAGGAAAGAGCAAACGGGCATAATCACGTGCGTGTTAGTCAGCGTAGAATTAGAATCAGAGCATGCACTGCACTATGGCCTGGTCGATGGGATGTGCGAATCGAAATCAGAATAGTCGAAGAAGCAATACCTATTGACTTAATTCGCTCGATTAATGTTCCAATAGTACTATTATGAACTACCACAGCTTCCATGAGCTCCGTGCTTCGACAGTGCCGTTGCAAGGGACTGCTGTGCCGTTGCTTGGGCTTACAACACCCTTGCTCTGGATTCTAGCATCTTCACTCGTGCTTTCGGTACCGTTGCTCGGGCTTCCAGCAGTAGTCACCTTGCTATTACCGTTGAACGCAAGTAGGTTGACCGAGCCCATGGGATCCGTCACGACATTGGGCGTAGCTAGCGCATATACCCTCGCCTTGACATCGGCAGCAGTCGAAGGTCCTTCAAGACCACGCAAATACGAGACCAAGCCCGCTACGTGAGGAGACGCCATGGAAGTACCAGTCAGCGTCCTCGTTTCTGTGTCGCCCAGGTTGGACGCCGATACAATGTTCGTTCCAGCAGCGAAGATGTCGACCGCAGCGCCGTAGTTGGAGCCTCCACCGCCGCTGTGCCTCTTGTTGGTGATTTCGATGTTTCCAACACAGATGACTTCAGGGGAGCGAGCTGGCGAGCTGTTGATGGCAGGGGAGTCCTCGTTTCCTGCCGATGTCACGACGAGAACGCCTTTCTTCCATGCTGCAGTAATGGCGGCATCCCATGTTGTCGACGCGGAAGAGCCAAGCGAGACGTTGATGACGGCGGTGTTTTGGCGGCCCTTGGAAACAATGTCGTTGACCGTCCAGTCAAAGCCGGCGAAGACATCTGATGCGCTTCCGGTGTCACTGTCCAAAACCTTGACGCCGATGATGTTGGTCTTCTTGGCAACACCGTACTTGGCGCCACCCACGGTTCCAGCTACATGCCTAGGACTTGTCAGGATGTGAAAATGGGTGTTTTAGAGGGTGTGACTTACGTTCCATGGCCTTCGTTGTCGGCGTCGGCGGTGCCTCTCACGGCATTGTAGCCCCAAGTTGCTCGTCCCTCGAAGTCGCTATGACTGATACGAACACCAGTGTCTTGAAGATGATGTCAATACCAAGTCAATGTATTCATCAGTTTCGTGACTTACCCATAACGTAGGAGAAGGTGCCTTTGCCCGCAGTGTCATCATACACGTATGAAGTGGCTCCTACAGTGCGAGAAGAGATGCTGGCTAGACCCCACGGTGCGTTCGCTTGAGTCACCACCGCGTTGATCCTCACGATAAAGTCCGGTTCAATGGTGAGGACCTCAGGGAGAGCCTTCAGCTCTTCAACGGTCGCCTCATCGAACGACCCAGCGTAGGCTTTGAAGTCGCCAAACCCGTACTCGCGGTCCACTGGGGCACCGACGGGACCATCGTCGCCTCGTCGAGCCAGATTGCGTGCATGTATGCTGCGCACAGTGTTATGGTGGGCTGCGATGGATGCAACGTCGGTATCAGGCTTCAGCTGAACGATGTATTTTCCGGGGATGATCTCGTTTGCTGGAGGCGCCACGACGGGGGCAGCTTGGGCCAGGAAAGGGGCTGCAGCTGCAGCGAGCGCGGTGATGCGGGTGAAGAACTGCATTCTGCCTGTGGAACGTGGGTGCGGCGTGTGGAAATCAAGGTCGATTTGCCTACTACTGCTGGACTACGTGCGCTTTTTGACTTGCACCATCTTCGTCGCAGAGGCTACTGTACGAGTAATCGTTAATCCAAGCATCGCACTTTTCTTGACTACTGCCTGTTTGGGCTCAGCTCCCGTAATGCAGTTCGTATAAGAGGCGACGCCGGTAGCGGTAGATGAGAATCTTCCGACTCATGGTCGGCCAAGACGGTCGCGCCAGGGGTAATTTTGGAAACGGGATGGCAAATAACCCTGTTCTTCCGGCCAGCGCTTTCCATTTCGAGCGTGACTACCGGGCGCGAAGCGATGGACACGGGATCCGGCGTCGTATTTTGTGGATAGATCCTACATCGGAATGCACTCCGCAAAATCGGGCCTTGTAGAATCAATGCCATTGTTCGCGACAACAGAACAGGCAGGTTCCAAGAGTCTGTATATTGCGGAAGGCTCGAAACAATGGGGAGAGATAAGGATCAGTCTGGGCAATAGAGCACTATCAAGGGTAAAGAGCAGTAGATGATGCAAAACGCTGTTCAGAGTGGTGGACTTTTCGGAGAGAACAGTCTGCGGTCCATCTGGAGCCGTATTGCATCAGACCAACAGACGCAACGGGAAGGAGACCGTACAGTCAAGAGTTAACAGCGTGAGCTTGACGACTCGAGTTGCGTGGTGGTCTCGTACTGGAAGAATCCGCTGGGCGGGCGGTCCCGAGATCTTGAGCGGCTTGCGGCAGATATCGGCGCGACTACGGAAGTAGATAGCGAAGACTATCAGTCCTATCCATTGAGCTGGTTGTTGATTTGACACTGGCCAGTCGCTGCTTCGTGGTATCTGTGTTTGCTGGCCCGCAGGGGCCTGGCTGTCGTCGACGCATAATGTGTGTAGATGATGGGCATGTGGGTGAAAAGGAGGAGCGAGGGAAGCCGCTCCGCTCGAGAACAGGCTAGACTGGTCGCGCTAGATGACTCAGCAACTCCCGAGGTCCCTCGCGCAAGGATGGCGCGTCGAAGCTGTTGCAAAATTCAACACCACAGAAGGACCCTCACGCGTCCGGGGGTCATGTGTCGACCCGCATATTCTCACGTCTTCGCTGAGACGCCACGCCTTATTGATAGGGGTCATTGTCAGCATATACACGACTACAATGGTGCCCAGGTGTGCACGACCCCGATTTGTCCGCATATTCGTAGTCTATCCCAAAAACGTCCTTATCGCGCGAATAAACAAGAGGAGATGGCACGGTAGCTTACCAGAGTGCTCAAGGAATGGATGAAACAGATGTACTACTCAGAGATACACAAGAAGTCCAATTCCCTTCCGCCTGCTGACCTCAGTTCGCCTCTACGCTGTAGCATCCGATGCACTACCTTCGTCTTCCACGCGAAACGCTGATGACAATGGCGAAACCTTCCATTTCTACCTGTGCCGAATTCTTGCTGACCCCTTCTCATCCCATTCCGCCTCTGACAAAGAAACAAGTTCTAGTCATCCTCTTCAAATACTTATTCCTCTTTATCATCGCCAAACTCGTAGATCATGTCAACTTCGCGGGTGATATCCTCATCGTCATGGTTGATGTCCTCATCTTCTTCAACCGTCTCATTGACTTCCTTAGCAGCATATGCTTCATTACGAGCATCCATCTCGGCCTTGGTAAGGGGCGCGTCTCGTCCAGGTTGTATCCTGCCTTTGGTACTGAGCCTGGGACGTTTGTCAGACTTCCGTGGGGGAGAGGGCGGCAAATCGTTATCATCGTCCTGTTCGTCGAAGCTGACGTCGATAGAAGACTCATCATCGGAATCGTGCTTGCGCTTCTTGGCGGATCTGTCGTGTTTGGACGATATTTGCAGCGTCGCCTTTGCCAAGAAGTCGGCGATGTCGATAGCTTCGTCGGGATAGCGCTCGTCGTCCGGGATGCTTTCACCAGCTTCAATACGCGCAGCCACCTTCTGGCCCTCGATGTATAGCATGCCCAGGGGCTCCTTGGGTTTATTGGTGATCTGCTGTCTTGCCCAACCGCTGACCGAGTCAACTGAACGCAGAAACCCTGTCTTTGCCACAAGGGTAGCCTGGAGATCCTCCCTTCCACTCTCCATAACCCGAGGTAGGAGCTTATCCACGCCGTTCTTCTTGACCCAAGTGTTCACCCACTCGTAAACGATGGCACGCTCATCATCGGTCCAGGGATCGCGCATCTTGGTTGTCTCGCCAGTGTCACGATTGCGCCACTGAGAGAGCTTCTTGCGGTACTTTAAAACCGAAGTATCATCGTTGAGATCGATTTGGTCAAGGTGGTCGAGGTCGACGAGGTGTTCGTGAATGTACGCATGTGTGGCTGTGTCGAAGACCATGAACTTGAAGGTAGGTGCCCAGCTTGTCTCGCCGCGCGTCCAGGTCTTTCCGTCATCTGATCTCTGCCAATACGTGTTTTTCTGCTTGTTCGGGATCGTGACGGTCGTAGGATCGGGTATCAGGTACTTGGGACGAGTCTTGTCGCGCCACATGCTGGTCAACTCGTCTTTACTGTACTTGGTGGCGATTTCTGGGATGACGTCCATTTGCGCGAAGACGTTCCCGAGCGGGGTGTTTATACGGTGGTACACCCGGATCTGGTCGTGGTTATCCATCACGCGCATGAACTCTTCGGCATCGAGCCGCGCCGTCTGATTGAATACCGGCTTGGGTGACGTGTGTTGCCAATCGTCGAAGTTATACTGCAGTGTGAAGATGGATTCGAATACTGGAATCACCTTACTGAACTTTGTCGGGTTCGTCCAAGGGTCGACATCAGGGTCGATGCCTTTTTTCCTGGCCTTCTCCACCCACGCACCGTACATGGTTACCAGATTTTTGGCCAAGAATAGCTGCGAGAGTGGTCGATGCTCCGGGTTCCTGTCTCCATGCACGCGGTTCTTGGGCTCCGCGTTCAGGTTCTCGCGCGACTGCTTCTTGACCGCAGCTGTCAAATTGGGGACGAGCTCGTCACACAAGTGTTGGTAACGCTGAAGCCGCTCGGATCGCTGACTTTCGGCGGACCAGTGTGTTGCGACACCTTCGTCGGTGATATCTCCAGCCAGAAAGGCGTCGAGCTGTCGAACTTGAGCCTGCATGTCCAAGTCAACTACTGGCTGCGAAGAATGTCGTGTCAACGCCAGTAGAGCCGAGTATGTCAGGAGAACGTGTAGTTTCTCTGGCCCCAAGGGTAAGATCGGCGATGTTGGTAGCGGTGCCATCTCGTCTTCGTTGCTGCAATCTGGCGCCGTGTCTCTGGTAGTCGTCCGATCGCTGTTACGGTGTGCTTCCGCGGTGACGGGCGCAAGCGGCGTGTCTAGAGTGTAGAGCGTCAATGTTGATTGCAGATGTTATCAATATCTACGCGACTATACTCACAACTATCGCTAGTTTTGTTGGTGCTGTCGCCAGACGCGGGGTGGGTCGCATCAGCTCGCTTGCCTCTGTCGCTCTCCATTGTGTGATTGCTATCCATGTTTGCAAAGCCTCGCGCAGATTTCTCAATGCCACACGGAACGTTGCATGCGCGGATTTTGGCTTGGATGAAAGACGAGCTAGTAACAGTGTGCGCTTCAAAAGCTCTGGCGATCGAAAGTGGAGAGGTCTTGCTCGCGGGTGAGCAAATCGATAGTGACGCGAGCATGTTATGACGCGCTAGTCAAACAGCGAGGTCACACAACTCTAAAGAACGAGCCTCATTGTTAGTCACTGAGCATTGATGTGATGAATACAGCAGTGTCAGCAAAGAAGCCCATAGGACAGACTGTCGCGAAAATAATGTTGAACCAGTGAACACGAAGCGTACTTTGTTCTCCGCAAGATGGACTTGTAGTCAATCGTTGCCTCCTGAGTCTCTATCATGTCGGTTTGGCGTGCTTGGTTGGGCTCGATTTGGACGTTGGTATCTCGAGGGCGCGTCGCCACGAAGTGAAGCTTGTCATTGAGGCTGTCGCTTCGGAGGACACGAGGCCAGACAAAGTCTTGAACACTGATTCGAGGAGGTACTCGGCGTCTTTGCTTACTCTGGTCAGCAGTAAGTGGAAATTTACCAAGGTGTCTTTCATCCACTGACTTCGCTCAATGCGCGGATACAAAGCCCAGCTTCGGTCATCTCAACCGACATCAGATGGTTTTTGAAAATTCCGCTTCTTCTATGGCTATCTGGCGCGTCGGCGACAGAAACGATAGCTGCTCTCAGGTGCAGGATCAGGATTGTTCTAATATGTCTGTGGTTGTCCGGTTCATCGTAGTCGAAACACCCGAAGTGAATGAGCCTTTTGAGGCCTTTTCTGCCAGGTAGTGACGCGCGCACTGTCCCAATTTGTTAAGCCTTGTTTTGAAGTCTTGAGTTTTCCCCTTCCTTGGCGTATCTAATGCTCAATTCAGTCCGCGACCAATCGAGCCACCGTCACCACACCTTGAAGTCTCTACTCTGAGAATTAGAAGAACTTGGTCGTAGCAACCTTTTCGATCTGGCGCGCGCTCAGGACTCTAACGCGTGATAGCTGCGCAGCTGACTTCGCACCTGTACCCGGCAAACATAGTCGACCTCGCGCCGTAAGTTCAAAAATACTGAACTCCCGTACGCAGTAACAGCGCTGTACCGTTTGAGTCGTCTCATCTGTCCGACCCGACGTTTGAATCGCATCGACTAACGATTTCTCTGAAGGGCGTTTCCACCTCTTGCCACGGCTTGTCTCGTTCAGCGCATACACCTACGCTCCCCAGTACATACCTTGCACGCATCCGATAAACCTTTGCAAGAGGTCAAAGACGGAAGAAGATGGCGCCCCACCTGATCGGTAGCCTGGCCCGTGAGATTCCCAGCGCGGACGAGATGCCAACACCCCAGAGCAAGGCCAGGGTCAAGGTGCCCACCAGCAGCCTGCCGGAACGCCTTTCGGATACTGAATCCATCCCACTTGATGAAGATAGCGATGGCGAACTGT